ATCATCATCATCATCATCATCATCATCATCATCATCATCATCATCATAGGTCCGACGGACTTGTGACCCTGAGGCATCACTGATGTGACGCAGCTGGACGAAAAAGAGTTGCTGAAGGGATTTTGCGAGGAGATGGAGGTGGATGATGCAAAATGTCTCGAGGGTGTGTTTGCTTTTTAATCATCGAGTATCTGTAGTTGTTTGGAGGTGGTGTTTTGGAACCAGTTCGAGATTTGCATTTCACTTTTGTTTTTATCATAGAATCAGAATGTTGCAAGTATTCTTGCTGAAAGCTTATTTTAAAGATCTTGAAGGCTGGAACATGGCTGAACCGAACCATTTATGGAAGATGACGCGCCCCAGGTTCTTCACATGCTCTCCGCTCCTCTAGGTATTTTGCCTGGCGCCCACTCCTTGCTCGAGAATTTGTGACCCTTCTTAAATCAACAATTGCTGAAAAGACAACATTCCATGGGTGCAGGCACAGCTGCTATGCACATGCCTTTGAGATTGCAGCTGCAGTTGGGCCATTTGCATGGGCTGATGGCGCAAGAACATGTTTTTCTAAGCTCTTCATTGGCACAGGACTTTGCTTGATTATACGATGCTAAATGAACTATTATGAACTACTGTTATTTTTTTGGTGAATATATATATATATAGAGATATACATATATATACATATGTTTGTATTTTTTGCTCGCGGCCGTTTGGGTGATGCTGCAGCGTTTTAACGTCTTTTAGTTGTGTGCTATGGCTTGCCCTCAATTCAAGGCTCGGGCCTAGTTGATTTGGTGGCAGAAGAGATTGGCATTCTCGCGTATATATACGTGCTAATCGTTCATTCCGCACCACGCGTTTTTGCAGGAGCAACCTCATTCGTAGGTGGTCAGACTTGTGCACCTCTTAAGTGGAACAATGCCGCCCCCACACTCCACACCCGCTGTCCAGGTCGTGGTGCTCGGGGATTTCATGGCCGGAAAAACGTCGCTGGTGCGGGGGCGCTGGGCGGGAGAGAAGGGGGGGGACCTTAAGGGATGAATGGAAGAGGTCGCGGTCTGTCCTATTACATCCTATTACTTGTACAAGTCGGTCAACATGTATCACGTTTTTAGAGAAACAGCCTTTAATAATGATCATCATCTACTGTGACTGTGACTGATAATGGGATAGGCCTAAGGTAAATGCATGAAAAAAAGTGGATGAACGTGGGGATGAGGTGGTCATCGGCCAGAAAGAACTTCAACAAATCATTAGAGGCAACATGAGGAAACTCTGGCTGCCCATGGGGGCACTGTCACCATGTTCGGATTGACACGAAGTCTTCATGGTTTCAACATGTTTCAACATCTTTCAACCATACTTGGCGTGGTGCTGACTTGGCCTTCTGACAAAGGCAGGTGGGAAAGACGATGGTACGACTTTTTGCTCAGCAAAGAGCCACAGAATGTAGCCTTCAGAAGCACCATTGCACAGAGGGGGTATGACGGGGCCCTCCAGTGCTTCGTTGCTTCGGTTTCAATGACCCTCGTGTCATCGTTCCTTGAAAACCCTTTCGCTGCTACTTTCGCTGCTGGATGGTCCTGCAGTGAAGTTCTGCAAGAGTTGAGGAAGTTCCTGGAGCACCATCTGGGGTATCGAAAGTTCCTGCATGGCCATGTTCGGCATCGTCCCTTTGGACCCAAGAGGAGCTGAGCTGTCCGACTTGGGCGGAAACGCGCGTTTCCAGCGCGGCGCGGCACGTGGACTGCATCGCCTGCGGGAGTCCACCAGGTCAACCGCTTCACCCGCGCGAGCTTCGACCCGGACATCCTCAACACGCCGGCGAGCCCGGCTCGCCGCGGAACGCTGGGAAGCGATGGGTGACGGGCTGGGTAGCATGGCAGGAGCTGGCGCATGGAGCCTTCCAGCAAATGCTTTGGGTCATGGCATGGGGCCTCAACAAATTGAGGTTCATCCATTTTCCACCAGTTATGAAGGCCCAGGCCCATAAAAGTCTGTGATGCCAAACATAAACAGTCGTGCACACGAACATTGATGTATACTGGTGCCCTGCCAACCCCCCAGGAGGTCGAGGAAGGTCTTCGGAGGTTCCCCGCGACATCCACGGCGGGCGGCAACGCGCGATCCACCTCTGCGGTTCGCGCGATCCACCTGTCCAAGGGTGGGCCTTGACTTTCAAGTGAAGAAGGCGCATGATGGGTGCTTCGCGTGATGTGAGTGGTACATGTGGTACCCAGACGAATGTTTTTTTTCCAGCTCAGAGGTGCAGATGTTTGGAAAGAGGAGGCTGAAGATATGGCGATGTATGAATGCACACCAATTGTGGGCCCTCAGTTTACTTAGTACAGTCTTTAGATTGACCCTAGCTCTTCAGGCTTCGGCCAGTTGAAAGGACTTGTTGGAACTGTGGGTGTGGGACCCCGTTATGCATAATTGCAGCAGACAGATTTGACAGGCAAAGAACATAGCAACCTGAAGTGAACGACCATGCCCCATGAGCGTCTCTTCTAGTTATATCATTGCTACAAGTATATCATTGGTCTCAGAGTAGATGGCACACTCCCCAAGATGTACTACAAGTATGTTACAAGTATGCACCATGACTTGCTCAGCTGGAGCGTAAGAACCTCACTCTTGGAGAACCGCCCGCACCGCACCGCACCCACCAGGTGCGTGCGTCTCAAGACCCTGTAAAGCTGGAGCTTTGGGACACTGTGCCTCGTCGGGTTTGGGATCCTCGCGTGGTTCCAACGGCTGGTTGTGCCGTTGGGTTTCGTTGGGTACGCAGCAGGATCGGCTCGGCTTGAACATTAACGCTGTTGTCAACGTGTGGGATACTTACAAGCCATACAGAACGTTAACAATATGTACTTTGCAGATGCTTGCTGGTCTCAATGGCCCCTTTTTGTAGCAGATTTTCTCCCAACTCCTTGTCCAACCATGATGAGGCATCGACTGGCCTCCAATGTTCCCCAAAGTGCAGAGCAAATTTCATCGAACCATGCGTAGTGCCATGACAGGCGGATGTAGCTGCATGGAATCATCAATGAATCATCTCCCCTCTTCGAACAAAGTGCTCGGAAGAGCTGAGATCTGGACGGGAAGATTGCACCTTTTTTGTTCTATTTTGTCCTCATGGCACAAAAAGATATTTGGACCAGCTTAGGAGTGCCCCAACCCATGCTCAGAACCAACTGTATTGATAATCTTTTTCGCCAACGAACGCCTTCCGGCACAAGGCTGGCGACCCGCGATTTCGATCCTTGATACCGACGCTCGGCAGGAAATTAGAAGGGAAGCATATCAGACTATACAATACGAGGTTGGCTGGAGGAGGGGCTTAGAGGATGAGAGGAAGGTGAGAATGGTGAACTGTTGCAGATTTTATGTTTTAAGAGGTTCGGCTTCTGAATTTACAAGTCAGTCTGAGCGCTTGGACCTTCCTTTTCGGCCCAATGAATCTGGTGTTGCAACACTGGAAGTTGTCCTCAAAATAGATCATTGGTTGTCTTGACCGGTGTGGGCCCATGGGCGTATTTGCGATTTCGCATTAGGGCGCAGTGGCCAGTAGAAGAAGTTCTGCATTGAATCTCAGTCGCTGTGTCAAGACACCTGATCGACTCAGGCAGTACGTCTCGGAAGCAGATGCCCTGCTGGTGGTGTATCTCGGCGGCTTTCATGTTGTGCTCCTGAAGAAAGCTGGGGCACGACGCAATGGAACGTGATTGTTCTCAGGACTATTTGATGATACGTGACGTGTTAATTCGCAAAGAGTAACGACCTTTGTTCATAGACCATTGCTGCTATGATTTTCGATGTTCTCGCACTTGTAACCTGTTCATTTGTCTTGCCGGCCTTCTTTATTGTTTGTTTTTTCTTTCCCGTTTGTATCGCTGGCCAAAGACGGTGGTGCCATGTTCCAGTGTTGTCTGGTCTCGGGGAGCTGCTCCAGGTATGACATTACAAACCTGGAGTCTTTTGCGACAGCCAGGCTGTGGGCACCATGCACTCATTGGAGGTCTATTTTTGGGTGGGTCTATGGGGAGATGTGATGAGATGTGATCAGGCCTTCTACCTTTAACATCCCTTAACAGCCTGTATTCCCTACCTGACGCCTCGGACAGGCTGGTTTTTGTAGGAAGATGGAATCCGATCAGATCCGACCTCCCCTCTGACAGCCTGGAGGCGTTGGGTCCTCGATCTGGAGGACCTGGCCCCAAGCGCCCTGCTGGCCCTCGTGGGTACGAAGGCAGGTGGATGTTGAGAAAGCCTTTTGAACACAACACAGGCAACAAAAATCCTGTTGGAACACCCTGCCAGGTGGACAGGGGCAGCGCCCGAGCCGTGTCCAAAGAAGAAGCTCAGATATTCTCAGAAGCCGGGACTCTCTGATGGATCGCCCCAGCGCCATTCACGGAGCCAGTTCCGTTGGTATTTGCATCGGTTGGTCCGGATATGTCCGGAAGGATCCTGCACAACACCGGCGAGAGAGACCCCTTGAGCTGGTTCGTGCACGTGTGCCCTGATGGTCCAAGGCGAAGAAGATGATCTTTGCCGAGACAAGCGCAAAGACAGGCGTGGATTCGTGGATGGTTGAGTGTGGGGTGAAGAACTGCCGCTGAGGATGAAAAAAACACGCGAAACTTGCAGATGAACGCATTGCTCCCACCATTGTAGGGGATGTAGGATGTTGTAGAGGACATATGAGGACATCGCATACTATATACATCGTATGGCATTCCTTGCAAGAAGCAGCTCTCCTTCCTTGATGCCAGTGCATGCGTAGCCACGGGGGGCCGACGTTGCAGAAGTCACCGAGAAAAAGAGATGAGTCAAAAGCAGGTGTTTTTCGCGGCGCCCACCGACCGGACACGGCTAGGACCAGGAAGACATGTTTTGTAGAAAGGACTGGTCGGGGTGCTTCTGAAGTGCTGCTGAACTGAACTCCCCCATGTGCCAGGCCCGCAAACAGCATACTTACCACATGAAGAACCCGCGAGAAACATGGTGCACCATTTCGAGATGGCTGGCGAAGAGGTCGGTCCCGCCGCCTAGGTGAGAATGTGGATGCTCTCTTCGCAGCCT